TGTGCCTCTGCCAGCGTGTACCTTCCAGCTCGTGTGTTTGCTGGCTCTAGGCTCTTGCAGGAGAACAGTGACACCCTTAGCACTTACCGCCCCTCTCCTGGCTACTCCGCTTTCCCGAGTGCCCATCACACAGTCACCTAGCTCCTGATCCCTGACCAAGGTCTCTCCTCCACTGAAGAAAGCAGAGCGCAGCTGTAACGGAGACCACCAGTCACTAGCAACTGGAAACCTCCTTCCCCCAGCACCACACATGGCCATAAACTTGGAGAGTTGACCAACTGACCCAGCAAATGGATGAAAGGGGCAGGCCTGGAGATGGGGGTTGTCATCATAGAGTTCTTTGGAGAGATGCCCCAAAACACAGTCCACCCATTACTGCCAGAGAGACTGGAGCATCTTGCCTGAAAGAGTTGCATGCACCAAAAACTTCCAGCGTCTCACAAGCCTAACACTGTGCTAATATAGGGCTTTTCTGGGCTCAGTTCACAGCTTTTCAGAGCTTGTTACTGCTGTAAATGTGCAGCCTCAGCTATCTCAGGGAACAGCACCCTCATGCTCATGGGTCTCCTGGTCATTCTCCAGTGCCTGACACACCAGTCAGAACAAGGACTGGCACAGAACTAAGTGCCAAGGTCCATTTCCACAGGGAAGAAAATAAGGAGTCACACCACGGTTGACAGTTGGCTCAGAGCACAGGTCAGAACCTGCCAGTACATCTGACACAACTTCCACCGACTGTAGGTGACACAGATAAACAAACAAGCATCAGCATCTGCTGACTCAAAGCAAAACGCAGCAACAATTTTTCTGCAACAATTGCATTTGTGACATGACAAAAAAGTGCAAGTCAGGCACACACATTAAAATACTGAGAGATGAGGAAGGGGGAAAGCAGAGATTTTTACTAAAGGAAAACCTGTCTGGGAGGCCCATGCATTTAGTGAGGAAGCAGAAGCAAACACAGACAGATGTTTCACTTTGCACACAAACACCAGCATGAAAGTGCAGTGAGTGATCTCCAGTCACCCACAGTGCAGTTTGAATAATTATCCTGCACACTTAGCACAGCTACACTTCTTTACTAAGAATACCTGCCTAGGAGAGTTGACTTTGGTGGTCAGGTAGGACAGATAGAGCTCTCCCTCCAACAGTTTGCCTGCAGCAACATGGATAAAAGCTATGACTGCAGCAACATGGATAAAAGTGCTCAAATTTGACAAGGAAAGTCACATTTTGAGTCCACACAGCGCCCCACACTGTTTGTTTAAACCAGAGCCCACTCTTAACTTAGGTGGCTCCTTCTTTACCCAAGCTTTGCAAGGCATGGAGCCTTGGCCACACACAGGGAGATGCTGAGCACAGCTCCAAAGAGGGAACACGCTCAGCAAAGCAGCACGGATGCAACGTGTCTGCCTGGAGCTGCTCACAAAGAAAAGGTAGAGGTAAGGCCTCCTCGACAGTCTTCTTCATGTAACCCTTCCCCTGGTTTCACAGCCTGTGGGACCCTCTCCGTAAGTAGGTTATTTGTTCTTCAATTTGAGTAGAGAAGATTTCCAGAGGCAAAACCCACACCAAAAAATAGGAAAAAGAAGGGAGCTTGTCCCATAAAACTCACCTGGACAAATTATTACTTGCTTGTATCAGCATCTCCCAGAAAGAGAACAGAAGAAGCTTAGTTTGAAAGACCTTGAACACGTTTGTAATAAACCATCCTGACAGAGGAGGAACCATGGCCCAGCTGAGGTGGCAACAATTATGAACGAGGCCAAAAGCCCTGGGAACTTTGAAAAAATGCAGGTTTCACCCATACAGTGCAGATCACATCTGGCTGCAAGGAAGATTTGAAGATCAGGATAGACAGGCACAAAGCATGAGCTCCTGGTGTCACATTGTGGCCAAAAGGGACTGCTCTTTGGATGAATAACCTAAAATGAAGTGAATTTATCTCTGTGTGTGGCAACAGTGTTTATACTGTGGTTCACCAATTCCTTAGGGCACTCAAAAAAAAAAAAATCAAAGAAGGAGGAATCTCTACACTATTACTCAGAGGTCTATAAGAGAAACACAAGGTAAGTCAGGTGTTAGGAGCTGGCTTAGAGTTGCTATGCAGGAATCTGCACATTCAACAGCAAATTTGTAAGAGTTTGCAGATAAAAAGAGTAACAAAAACATCTAGTATGTGGCACTGATGTGCTTGGTGATAAAACTCTGCACACATTTGGGATGTCTGCATTTTACAAGGAAATATTGAAAAACTAAATAACAAAAAAAGGAATCCACAAACTACCCAAAGAGAGAAGATATCTTACGCTGAGAAACTTAAAGAGCTCAGCAGCTTCATTCCTTAGAAAAAAATATCTGAGAGGTGGGGCAATTACAACACACATATGTCCTCACAGGGAGAAACTATCAGTTATTATACATCTCTTTAATCTAGAAATAAAAAAAGCAAACACAAAAACCCAAAACACAACAAACACAACAAACTAGCCGTTGAAACTTGAAGGCAAATTAAAAATAAGCCATCTTTCCATCCCACACATTTCTTTTTAGTTTACTTCTTTTAATTAACAATTGCCAGAAAAAGTACTGCATCTTCATATTTTGATATCAAGTCTGCTGCTCTTCCTCAATGCTGTGTCTGAATCAAATACACATTATTACCAGACACAGTTCAAGGAACTAAGTGAAAAACAAATACCTACAATGCAGTGAAACTCAGACTAGATAGATTTGACTTTAAATTATGGATGGGAATATCCAGCCCTCAGCAGGTCACTAAGTTCACAATAAGCTTGAGGGGATAGATGAGAATTGGAAAGAAACAAAAGGTTTTAAAAATATCAGCTGCTTTAAATATTCATGCTAAATGAGTTCTCAAAATTATATAAATGCCACTTTTTTGATGCTTTTTAAATTCATCTTCAAAGTTTCAAAGTTTGGACTTTTTTTTCAAAGCCCCAAGCATGATTTTCACTCATTTGTTGAGTAACAAAAGCTGAAATTCTCACTGGCCACTTCCAAGCTGTTCCCATTAGACATTTCTTTAATTTACTCCATATGTAGAAAACATATACATGGTGTTTAGTGTAGAGATGAAATCCAAGGCTACAGAAACCACATGGAGGAGACTGGAAATCCTGCAAAGACTGGATGATTTCAATTTTGAGCAGCTGACACTACTCTTCTGGCTTCTGGAAAAGCTACTGAGTAGCAAGATACACAGTCATCTGCCTTGGTATTAAAATTATTCAGTAGCTGTGAAAAAGAAATCTAAAGAAACAGTACGGATGGAGGGGCCTTTCCATGCTCAGGAGGCCACACCAACTACCTGGGCACAGGATGTTACCCTTCCCCCATAATTCAATAACCTGCTTGCACCACAGATGTCTATCATGCCAGAGCTGCACCAGGATCCCAAAGCTGAAAGGAATAAAGGGAGCAACTTCCTCTGGTGTCTTCAACACAAAGAGTAAAAATAACCACCCCTTGCACCCCCCTTATCCTCCTTAGCCTTTTCTATGCAATCTCCCTCTTGCAGATGAGGGATTATGTATAGACGAGGACTAACAAGTTATGGTTTGTAGCTACACAAGGACCTCCTTTATTTCCTGCCTAAATCCCTATCCCGATTCCCTAGCCATATTTGCAAGTGCTCTATGCAGACACCAAAGCTAAAGCGCTAGGGCAAGCCTCAGATGTGCAAGCTGGTTCTTGTGGCACCTGCAACAACAGCAATCCAAAGAGCTGCCCATATGTGCCCTCAAGAGACTGAATTGCTTGGTCAAACAAGGCAAGTCACTGCATGCACGGGTCCACCCCATCAGACACCAATGTAGGCTACCCCAAACCCAAGGTCAAGCATCTTTTCAAAGCCCTCTAAGAACATAGGGAAAAAATCCTCTTGTTCTCTCTCCCCTGCCTACAGTGGGGCTGCTCATTGCCAAAGCAAAGCTTCATATGGTCTAAATGCCCTGAAACTCTTCCTGGTGACACAGGAATGTCAGGTACAAGCTCCACTTCTACCTCCTCTGGACACCAGAAATACAGCTCTGAGCAGACACTCTTTTGAACACATCAGAAAAATCCTGCTAAAATAATGAAGAATAAAGACAAATAAAGCATCAACAGACAGGTAGATTTCTTTCTTTGAACACACATACATTGCATATGCGATTGTTTTTGGCATCATACAGCCCAGACCACACATTTGTTTTTCCTGGAGACAAGAGATATAGGTCTTACACCACAGAGCTCAGGCCAGCAGAGGCATTTAAAACCATATGAATCACAGTGAGGAAACAAGGTCCTAGAAATCATTTCAGCAACACTCCTTCCAGACTATGGGTTTTTTTTCCCTTCTCTTTATTTACTAAGCCTTAGATTGGCAGGTGTTAGCCAGAGTATCTTCTCAACGCCACATCAGCCTTAGGACATAACCGATAGACAAGACGAATTCAAAGTGCTCTGGACTGCCCTGCTTCTACCGTCCTAAAATTTTTGTGATGGCAAAAGGCAAGGTAGTTGTTACAAAACCAACCCAAACAACAACAAAAAAATCAAACTAGATCAAGTACTTTCCATGCAAAAAAATAACCCCCAAAACAAAGCAAAGACCTTTAACCTGAAAAATTCAGACTTCCAGTAGCACGATGGATGGAGATCCTATTGCTTCAGTGCCACTTTAAGACCCTTCTGCAGCCTCAGTATGATCCAATCTCTTGCCACTGCTTACCTAGTGATTCTCTCCCTCAAATACTAGCACTCTGTGGAAAGTTTCCTCTTGCAGTTCTAACTCAAGAATGAGCAGCCATTCCGATACCCAAAGTTTCTTTCCAGCAGTAGATTGTCATCAAGACTGCATGTTAGCTTTAAGTAAGCAGCTACACTTATAATTTTACCTGTGAAACCACAGATCAGGTTGTATACATTCTTCCTAAGGCATTTATTTAGCAGGAACCAAAAAAAAAAAAAAAATTAAACGGAAAAATAAAATACCCTCCACATTGCTTCTCTTTATTCATTGCTGAGAGACAGGGGATCATTGGTTGCAAGAAAAGTTTGGTGAGAACAAGACAAAGTCTCTAGTAAAAATTTTTGCTTTAAAACCACCCTAACCCACCCTTTTTAACAGGAGTCACATCTCAAAACACAGAACGTATGAGCGTGTTTGAAAGTTCACAGTGCAGAAAAGAGGGACATTGGCAAAAACTCCCTCAGATTAGTCAAAAATACAGCCATCCCACTCTACACGTGAACAATCACCTCTCTCCCCCTTCTCCTTTTTCTGCTTCCATCCACCCCACAAGAAAATCAATATATAAAGAACATTAGCAGCAGCTTTATGATAGGCAACGATGCTTTGGGACATCAGTCTGTGATAAGATCGTTGATTCTCTCTTTCCTTAAATTACATCCTAGCTGTGTAAAACACGCAGTGGCATCCGCAGCAGGAGCTCCTCACATGCGCTGTCGATACCTCAGCACGACCCAGACGGCCGCGGCAGCAAGGGCCAGGCCTGGCACAAGGAGGGCTGCTAGAGAAAGCCCACTTGATTCTCCATCACCTCGATGACTCACCGGGCCGTTCTGTGGCTGCAGCTACAGGGCAAAGGAGAGGAGCTGTGAGAGAGTGCCCATGGCAGGAGAACCCCCAGTCAGGTGGTACCGTGCGGACATGCAAGATGTTACCTGTGCACTCCACACATTAGGGTTAGAAGGGCTTTACTGAGCTGAACTTTACTGCAGGGTACCCCTTCACTACCGGGCACCCTCATGCTTCTCTGCTGCTTTATGAACTAGTCACCAGGTGCGAGTCCAAGAGCTGCAGCAGGTTAGGGCTCATGCAGCAGAAGCAATGGAATACACATACCCAGTCATCCCTCGGTGCACTTCCCACCATACCGTTTTCTGGTGGCATTCCCAGGAAGAGGGCATCACTAATCCTCTCCGTTTTTCTTACTTGTTCTGCACACTGGTCCAGAAGATTTACTCCTTAATTAAGGGAGTAGAAAAGGGGTCCCATCCCACCTCCCCAAGCCAGGGTGCTTCAGGTTGATCAGTGTTTCCTTCATCGACTTCGATGTTGGCACTGACGACTTTAATTCAAGCACTAACAACAGCTTAAGGGTCCCATTTGTGTGTAAGCACACAAAATGGTGCCAAATGTTCTTATACTGCAGAAGCACACATTTCATCTCTGCTGGGCTGCAAATGCTTCTCAACACTAGCTGAGGTGTCGACCTCTGAAACAACAAGGGAATTTTGTCTCCAGTAAAAGATTTTGGACTCTCAGACAAAACTGGAGAACTTGAGACTTGGCCTTCACAGACAAACCCTTGCTTCTGAGAAACAAGAACTGTGAAAGAAATAGCACGTGCTTAGTGTATTGGAGACCTAGGGACTCCTCCAAACTCACCATTTCCTTCATACCGTTACAAATGAGTAAAGCAAGAGATGAATAGAGCTGACGGCCAACTAGAGGGAGCCACAGTTCAAACTAAATCTATATGTGTAATTTACACTGAGCTCCTTGACTGGGTAGTGTTCTGCCTCAAAGTACCCTTCCAGCAACCATAGAAACCAGTTTAATCTAAGCTAGGAACACCCACAAGGAAAGGCAAAACTTACCCTGCGCTGAATTTTCAGAGACACGTCATAGCCTGCATTCCTGAAGAGTTCCACAGCATCCTTGTGCCGCAAATCTTTCAAGTCTTTACCATTGACCTAGAAAAAAAAAAAAAGAAAAGAAAGAAAAAGGAGAACCAGTTGCTAAAAGTCAAAAATCAAATTTTTCATAATGCAAACACAGAAAAAGAGAAAAAGAGACAAAATTCTTCCTCTTACAAAGTTCTACCTTTAGAGCATGAAAATACAATGAGTAAGATCCAGATTAATTCACCCATATTACAGCTGTATTTAATGTATTTATGCTTAACAATAACATGAGAGCCTTCAAGCCAAGAAGCAGAGGTGCTGAGAACACGACCCAGTGGCAAAACTAGGTTTTAAGACAACAGCTGCATCAACAGCAGCTTCTTAGGTTGTCGCTTTACCAGAATCCATACATCATCCATAACTCTCACAGCTAAAGGAAAATAAAAGAGTAGCTACAGCAAAACTACTGTTAGAGCACATTAATGCCTTTTCCACATTTCACCCTCTCCTGGTCTGCCACTGAAACCTTCCTCCGCTTTGAGAGTTATCGTGAACAAATATTTTAAAGGACACTGACATTGAGAAGCACTTATCTGTACACTTGCCATCCACTGAATCGTGCTAGGATTTTCTTTCATTTTAAATAGTATCTCACAGGAGATGGTCTATATCTTCTTGACTTCATTTTCTAGCTCCTGTTCTTCACCTTGTTTTTTCTGTTTCATCACTATTACCTCTAATTGTAGCCCCTGAGGTCACACCCCGTTCCTCCCTTCTCTTGATATTTAAAACTGCTCAAACACATTATATATGAACATTAAATTGTCAAGAAAAGACACAACATTTTTCTGCAATTTAATTTAGTGTTATTCTCTGGATAAATAGTAGACACAAGTCAATTTATTTGTAGAGTCTAAAAAATTTACATATAAAACACAGCAAGCAAGTCTAAAATAAAATAAAGGGTATTAAATGACTGTGTATCAGATGCATTGCCAACCCATCACTTTTTAAAGCATGTTATCCTGCATGCTTGCGGACAGCCAGCAGAAAGGAAACAGAGAACTTGCACCTCAGGTACTTTAAAACACTTTCCACAAGGAAAACCAGCCTACATTACTCCTGATGAGTTACAATGAAGTAATTTACTGCTAAAACTTGAGAACCTCCTGAACCAAAAGATCAGCAGTCACTTGCTATCACACAAGTATACAGAAAGTTAGCAGTGGAAGAACAGTTTATTTATTCACTCACGTATTTGCAAACGTTGCCACGCTTCCCAGAACAAACCAGGACTTCGCATCCCTGCTGCTCCAAGCTCCCCCCAGAACCCAAGGCAGGTCCTCCATGGAGTTTCATGAGGGACACTCATGAATTTGCCTTCATCCCACCCTTGGTCTCTGCACTCCGTGGCAAACCCGCATCTCTCCACACGTCTCTGATCACAGCACTGATTCAAGAGCACAACAAGGCGACCGAGGCGCGCGCTTACCGCTAATATCTTATCTCCTTCTTGCAAGCGGCCGTCCAGGTAAGCTGCCCCGTCCTTCTTGATCCGGCTGACGTAGATGCTGCTGTCATTGGAAATGTACTGCTGATCTGTCCCACCAACAATGTTGAAGCCCAGCCCTAAGGTAAGCCAGAGACAAAGCTGATGAGAAAGAACGCAAAGCTTAAGGCACTCTTGCTGTTGGGGAGGGCTGTATCCACCAACCCTGACCCAGTCCTGTCTTTTATGCTCCAGACGACTCACAGCACACAAACCTGCATCAGCCTTTCCACTCATCAATGCCTAAGACATGTTTGCTTCACCAAACCGCTCCCCAAAGCACAGCAGAGACCTGGACACTGTAAGCACCCGAATTTCATCCATGAGGCTGGAATGGAGGGGATCTAAGAGCTGTTGGGGGGATACCGAGGGGCACGTGATAGTTTCTGAGAAGCTGAATCAGCTCTGAATGGAAAAGAAACAGCATGAAAGGAAAAGAAAGTACTTAGCCTCTCACGGGGGACTACTGTAAATCATTACCTTTGAGCAAGCAGGACCCATGCCTCATAAGACCTTGGTGAGCTGGGACAGAATAAGGAAAGGCAGGGAGCACCCGAGCCCTTAAGAGGCAGGAGGAGCTGTGCCTCCAGCTGCAGGTAGCAATCAAACAAACTGAACTCAAAAGTCTGGGAAAATACATGTTACAAGACCACATTCCCTACTGTGCACGCAGACAAACTTCTCTGTAAATAATACATGATAAGGGGTGGGAAAGATTCCCTAACAAGAAGCTTGTGGTGAAAAAAAAAAAGAAGAAAGAAAAGTCAAGAAAAAAAGAAGTATATCAAAGATGCAAACAGGGTAAATGGAGAAAAAAAAACTTTTTAAAACTTTTTTTTTCTTTCTGACAGGCACCCAAAGCCTATTGCCGAGTACGGCTGAAGGCAAATTCTCCCCACATTTGGCCAACCCAATTTATTTATTTTCTCCCTCTGCTTCTCTCTGGGAAGGCAAGTTGTAAATGAAGAGTAAAACCAGCTTGTGCCCGCTGGGAAGCGGCTTCCTAAATTAGTCACGGGAGACCAAAGGATGTACAAGATGAGACACGGTATTTGAAGTGTGCAGTTACTGGCTTGGAAGTAAAGAAATATTAAGAGCAATCTCCACACCTGCCTCCCATTCCACAGCTCAAGGCAGGTGAGGAAAAAGATGGAAGGGGCTAGGGGCTGAAGAAACACCGGCGTTTTAGCTGGACTAAATCTGTTTCAATGATGGACACCTGTGCAAGTTACTATATGCTTCAACAAGAAATAAAAATAAAAATAATAAAAATGTGAATAAAATAAAAAGATGCCACAAACCAAAAAATGACTTGTCATGAGGCCAAGAACTTGGGGACAGGGTGAACAATACTACGGAAAATATGAGCTTGAATCAACATTTGGCTCTTCAATAAAGAGCTGGAAAGAAGGAATCCCAGTTTCAGGGTAGACAGACGGAGTGAGAAATCAATCTAACAACAATAGGCAGAAACACATATATTTTGCAAGTTTCCACTCCAAGTGAGCAGGAAAAGAAATGAAAAGCCCCTGTTTCCATGAGTAGAGGCCCAGATCTCTGACAGAAGGGGCAGCAGCTCGTGCTGGGCCACATTCAGCATTCCCAGCCTGCGCTCCATTCGCTTCAGGGCTTCTTCCCAGAGCTGCTCGGCCAGCACTTAAGCGAATTTCCACTCTGGCTAAAAATATCTTGCCTGCCATTCCCTCAAGCCTTGTGCTGTTCTCCTCCTTGCAGCTCCCGCCGGCACAGGAAGAGCCATGGCAGAGCTGCGAATAAACAGGGCCGGGGGAGAGGGGAGCACTTGGCGTTAAATTCCTGGTTTAAAAGCAAGCAAACGTGGAATGGGGGTCCCCAATAACGGGCTCAGGGCCGCTCTCCCCTGACACAGCAGACCTGAAATCACCTGCTTTACAAAAAGGCAGCTAAAGGATCGTGGTTTGCAGGGTTAGAAAAAGAGATACAGAATAATACAAACCTGAAATTAAAGATACAGCCGTTTTGTTTCCCACAAAAAAAGGGTTTTTCAGTCTAATTTATATATGTAGGTTTTCAGGAGATACACACACACACACAAAACTGTTTTGTGTATGCAAACATATTTCCCCACTCAGCCATTTTTTTGCTAGGGATGTGTAGGATCTCACCTTATTTTAGACAGTCAGTAACAGGGTAAAAACCAGCTTAGCGGGTTACCCGACCACACTGCGCTTTACGGATCGCAACGTGCAGTTCAACAGAAATTAATAAAAATTCAACAGAAATTATTAAAAATTCATGCAGTTCAAACGAAACGTTCAAGGTCACAAGGAGCCAGCCGGCTCTTTCATCCAACTAAACAGGACACAGCAGGGAATCTAATGCTAGGAAAGAGAGGGACCATCGTAAGGACAGGAGTAACGAGTTTTGGTGCTAGGAAAGAGAGGGACCATCCTAAGGACGGGACTAACGAGGTTCGGTGCCCAGTGGCTGCAGCAGAGACCTCCCCTGGACGTGCCCGGCCCCCCTCTAAACCCGGGGCTCGGACGCGCCCAAACGCAGAGAAACGCTTCCAGCCGGCCCCAGGGGGAAGAGGGCAGCGGAAAGCGGAGCCCTTCCCAGCACGGCCTCCCTGGGGAGAGCCGGACGCCGCCAGGCGAAGGCAAGGCGGCGTTCCCTACAGATCCGCAGCATTCCCTGCGGAGCGGCGGGCGCCTCCCGGGAAGGCCGCGGGAGCGGCGCCGGGCGGGAAGGAGGCACCGGGCCTCGGCCCAGGCCGCCGCCGTGGCTGCTCTCCGCGCCGGAGCGCGCAGGCCCCGCGGGACGCGGTGCTCCCGGGCCGCCATGCGCGCTCCGAGCCGCTCCCGGTGCCGGTGCTCCAAGCCCGGCTGCTCACGGGCAGCGCGGCGCGGGGAGGCCGCGCCGGGGCGGGCGGAGGCGGCGCGTACCTGAGGGGCCCCGCGTGAGGCTGATCACCTCCTCGGCCACCGCGCCGCCGCTCATGCCGCCGCCAGCTGCCCTCGGCCCCGCCGCTTTCGCTTCCCCGCGGGCCGCCGCGGGGCGCTGGGAGTTGTAGTCCGCGCTGGGCCCGGCCCGGGCCGGCCTCCGCCCCGGCCAGGGACGGAGCGCGCAGGGCGGGAGGCGGGAGAGAGGAGAAGAGAAAGGGAAAGAAGGGTGAAAGAGGGAAGGGAAGGGAAGGGGCGGGGGGGGGGGGGAGAGTAAAAGAGAAAGTAAAAGAAGAGAAAGGGAAGGGAAAAAAGGATGAGGGGGGGAAAAGGATAAGAGTGGGGAAAAAAAAGATGGTAAAAGAAAAAAGGGGGTAAAAGAAAAGGGGAAGGGAAAAAAGGGTTAAAGGGAAAAAAAAAAGAACAAAGGGCTAAAAGAGAAAAAAGAGGTAAAAGGGGAGGGAAAGGATAAAAGCAATAAAGAAAGGGGCGAAGGGTAAAGGGGGAGGAAAAGGGAGGGAAAGCGGGAAGAAAGGAATTATGGGGGAACAAAGGCAGGAGGAAGAACAAAAATGTATCCCTAGTGATTTAATTAAACTTTGTTTCAGCACGTGCTGCAAGAGAAGGGCCAGGGTCCCGGTGCTGGTTTGCTGCTTGGCACTGCCAGGACAACCACGTCTCTGCGCCCTGGGAGTTGTAGTGAAGAACGTGAAGACCAGGTGCCCGGCTCTCCAGGGATGCCGATAATTTGTTTGTTCTGCAAACAGGCATTTGTACATAGCAGGGTGTCGTGTAATCATACACCATATCATAAAGCATTCATTCCACGTAGTACAGTAAGTATCCGTCATTTCAATCAGTTTTTTTCAAGGTTATGCACACGTTGGAATTCCTGGATTTACTAGGGAGATGCCCCCCTCTGGATGCTCTCGTTTACAAAAAGATCATGGCACTTGCCTTAATGCTATACCATTTATGCTTAATGCTATACAAAGGGTTGAAACACCTGCCCAGGAGATGAAAGGAGGACACTCGAGTCCCTATTTTACCTGCCATGTGAAGCAAAACTACAACTTCTGCATCTTATGAGGACTTGTTGAATCATTAAGCAAAAGTTATCTCAGCTGTTTTGGACCAGCTTGCACAATTATACACTGTATATATAACCCTGCAAAATTAAACTTGCAACAGTTGTGATGGGCACTAAACATGTTTTTCCCTGATGCAGTTTCTGCTAATGCGGTACTGGGCAAACTCCTTGAAGGTACATTCCATTCCTTAGCAGCAATTTGGATGTATCTTGAAGATCATCTTAGTTCACAATCAAAAAATATGCTATCTGCTGATCTAAAGGTGGCCGTAGTGTTAGGAGGTTCAGTGAAAGTCTTGTTTAGTCAGGAAGAGATTTCAAACAAAAAAAAAAAATGAATAAATCACTGTTTTAACATACCCCTAGCCAGCTCCCGACTTCTCCTGCCTCTGCAATTGTCCACATCTTAGTGGCTGCTTAGAGTGCATGCCCTGCTGTCCTGGTGCATGCACCATCACCATCAGACAACTTTTCCAGAATTGTTTTGTATAATAGTCTATACGGAGAGTGGTTAATCTATAATAGACTTTTATAGACTGACCTCCCCTTCCAGGAAGGGAGGCAGCAGTGTTTTTAGGTGGCCTCTTCCGTGCCCAAGCAGCTGAGACGTTGACCCAGTTCTAGGAGGAGGGACTCCTTCCCTAGTATGTGGGGCAGAATGACTTCTAGTCAAAGTTTGATTGAATCTCAGCATGATAAGGCTGGGTAAGGGCAGAGGCCTTATAAGGGGAAGGGACATGGCATCTGGTCAAGGTATACGTTGGTGCATAATTTCTAGAATTAATCAGCAAGCACTGCTGAAGCAAGAGGATCCTTCTGGGTAAAATTGCCATATCTGTGCCTTTTCTTGTGAGATGATAATGGGTAATGGTTTACTTCAGGCTGAATTTAGTCCTCCAGATCTCTAAATAAGCACCTAAACAAGGGAGCAGATCTTTAAAAGTGTCCAACACTCACCAGCCTTCATTATCTCTTAACACTTGCCAATTCAGAAAAAAAAGAGAGCTCCTATTTAAATAAAGAAGTTATGGTTCTAGCCCCTCACATCCATTTAAAATATTAAAAAAAAAAAAAAAACATTTAAAATTGGAGGGAAAGGTGAAAACTGCAAAGACTGGAACTGAACTTAGACTTGCACCCCCATATTTCAATAGAGTAGGATATGTAGGATATGTCTGGTAAGCCATCAGAAATACCAAGATGCTTCTTTATGTTCATCTGGTCAAGGAATCTTGACACTACTGTAATAATACTTAGTGAATGTTATTTCTAGATCTTCTGTATAATTTAGGTAGATTTTATCTCTTGTTTAAAAAAAAAATGTTCCTTATCATTCTGTTCTAGTAGACACTCCTTGTCTTCAAGGACACATTCAGTGATAGCTTGCAAGGAAATTGCACCATAAGGCAAGATGGGCTTTATCAAACCCAAGATGGTTTTGTAAGATGGTAAGCCCAGTGGAAAGGTTTATGCTATAGGTACCTGTCTCTCACTGGAATATCCTTTTCTTGCTTGAGTGTGTATTACTGATGTGAATTTGAATAAAGACTGCAAGAGCAAGATTTTTCTCCTTTTGGTTATTCCTGAATGACAGAAGCAAGATGCTCACAAACATCTCACAGTAAAATGGAGGGACGCTTGGATGAACTGTATGAAATTGCTGAAGTTCTTCATATATGTTTTAGAAAGTTGCTTGTGTAAACTGTCAAGGTACATGGAGCATAAAGCCACACCTTCTGTTTGCCCAACTACCTCCGTTTAAGAGCTCAAGGTGAAAAGAACAGCATACCTTGTTGCCTGCATTTATTATCTTAGCACAAAGATAACAGATATTCTGAGTTTGATAACATTTCATGAGATGACAGCAATCAGAATGTGTTCGATTGTTCTGGTGGAACAGCAGCCCTTGGCTCAAGTGCTGCTGGCAACTCCTTCTTGGGCGTCCCAAGCTGCAGCTCGCTGACCTGTCAGTAGGTGCTCTGTGTGGACTTGGGCTCGTGTCAGGTGTTCTCTGTCAGGAACTGGGATTTCCAGCATCTGGAGCAACTGCCGGTCCTTTCCTGTGGAATCGAGCTAACCTCCTAAACAACGCTGCTATTTGCCGTTTATAACATATGATAAGAGTAGCTAGGAGGATACAGAGAACAACAACCCCAAGGACTGCTATTCCAATTTTCGCTCTGAGGAAAACCTGCCTGGCCGGAGGGGGTCCGCTGTCGATGCTCCCCCCGAGCCCCTCCAGCTCGCAGAACGGAGGGGCCCAGCCGTACTCGCAGTGACAGTTCTTACGGTTGTTGCACACGCCTCTGTTGTGGCACTTGGTCACATTACAGTCGTAGTTCAGCACGGTCACGTTGGTGCACGTCCTGTTGATACAGAGCCTGTCTTTCCCGCACGGCGTGCCATCATCCACGGCCCCCATGTCACCCATAGGCATCCCTACGTGATAGTCGATACCCCAGCACTTCTTATCTCCAACAGGGGTTTGGATTATGGTTATGTGGTTGCGCAAATATGGCAATTTGTATATGTTTTCACACTGGACCCTACCACATAGGATATTCTCAGTTTTGCATTTTGTGTATCGAATATTGTCTTGAATGCCACAATTTCCAAAACGGTCACCTTGAGTATTTAGCATTCTGAAGCAAGCCGTAGGAGCAGCCTTGGCTCTTCTGCCAAAGAGATTCTTGCATTGTTTGCTGTGGGAGGAACATTTCCCTCGATAGCAATGGGAACCGTCCTTGCACGGGGCTCCATCTTGCACGTACACATCTGGCTGGCACCGGGGGGAGCTCCCGTTGCAGTACTCGGGCAGGTCGCAGACGTCGGTCTTCGTTCTGCAGAGAGTTCCTGCTGGAAGGAGCTGGCAGCTCTTGCAGCATTCTCCAGAGGCACAAACTGAACCTTGAGTCAGCGTGCAGTTTGGGTGGCAACATGGGTCTCTTCTGCAGTTTAATTCTGAGCCACAGTCACACTGCTCTCCGTCTTCTACTATCTCATTCCCACAATATTTATGCTGCAGGGTGTAGAAAGTGCCAGGCGCTGGTGGTTGACGCAAGCAGCCTCCAGTAGTCCCAAGCAAGTCAAAGTAGTTTCTGTAACTGCAGTCACTGAATGAATCGGTGTTAGCTTCACTTTCATACATAATACATTTCTTACGTCTACATTTGCAGCTTCGATCATCATGCTGCATCCCAAGAAGATGTCCCAGCTCATGGGCAAATGTGACAATAACTGTAGACAGTTTCCTCTTAGTGAAGGACTCAACGGCTGATGACCAGTGCTCGTCACATATGGCCCCCAGATATGCCAATCCCAAGGTCTTTCCAAAGCTCTGATATGCAAACAAGTGAGCACTATCATGGTGTATCCGTTGGGTCAGATTGGTCCTTCTCCATTTGTTGAAGTCTGCAAGCACCTTGCCTACAGAATTAGTAATATTTATGAAATTACCTTTGGTCCAGATCTCTAGCCCCAGAAGATAAAGCTGGACAGAAAGCTGATCATAGAGAGAGTCCCCGATGTTGATGACGTTCATGACTAGCTTGAAGACTTCAGATTCATTCGCACCCGACCTCAGAAAACGCACGTGGTCTACGATCACCACAAGCTTCGCGTACCTGATGTGTGTCCACCAGCCCTTCAGCGTGTCCTCCTCCTCCTGCACCCGTGCAGCCCGCAGCCAAGGCAGCAAGGTCTTCTGGTGCTGCAGCTCCTGCTCAGTGAGGCCGCAGGTGGGGCCCGCGGCATCAGTGGCCTCCTCCATGCGGTAGAGGACATGCCGGAAGGCTGGATCGTCAGGGACGGGCTCGATCTCGTAGGTTCTGCCCTCCACCCACAGCACCCCTTGGAGGCCTCCCCAGCAGGTGCTGAGGGCCACCAGGGAGCCGGGGCTGCCCTGCACCTCGCCCTGGAAGAAGCAGTCCTGCGGCACAAAGGGCTGGTCGTCCCAGCGCGTCCCGTCCTCCCCATAGGTGACCAAGGTGAAGGAGGGCGACACCAGCCCCCTGCGCGGCCGCAGCTGCAGCACTCGCACCCTGCCCTCCACCTCCAGGCGGTAGGAGAGGGCCAGGGGGTCGTGGCCGGCGCGGGGGCTCAGGCGCCGCGGCACCGTCACCTCCGCGGCGGCCACGCGCAGCGAGCCGGGCGCCTCGTCCTGCGCCGCGGGGCGCCCCGCCAGGCCCAGCAGCACGGGCAGCACCAGCAGCGCCGCCATGGCGTCCGCAGCGCTGCCCGGCGCCCCGGCACCCGCCGCTCCCGCCTTTGTGACCAGCGGCACCGGAACCGGCTCTGCCCGCCCCGCGGCACCCAGGCTCCATGCTGCCGGCGGCACCGGGGCTCCATCCGCCCCATAGCACCACCTGTGCCTGGAGCAGGCCAGCTCTCCTGGGCACCTGCTTAAAGCAAGGCGCACGCAGAGCCTTTAGTATTCCTCGTTGTGAAAATAATGGGTATTTCCCCTACCAAGCACTGGAGTGTCCAGGAAGGGGGAGTCCCTCGCCAAGTTTCACACTTGTAGGCCCCATATCCCCTTGTAGACCCTAGGAGGAAAGAAAGGCCTGTGCTCATCGCCCAAGGTTGGCTTTTGTTTGGATCACTTTCCCCCCACCACCCCTTTCTTTATTAAAAGGTTATTTGTGAGAACTAGAGATCAGGAATAGAGAATTTCAGCTCAAAAGGATATTTAGAAGAATCCAAATATCCAAACTGGGTCCTAACTGAAAAAATATGGAAATGCTGGGTATGGGAACACAGTGCTTCCCATTGCCTTTCTAAATGGTTTGTTATGGCTAGAGGCACAACTTCAAAATAAAAAATAGAACAGAAATAAGGATGAATTGGTCCATGTTCCATACAACAGTGCAGACACAGGATAATATAATAAGGATAAGAGCATAAAGCCTATCTACGCCATGGTTGCTGGGTATCTCTATCAAGGTACCCAGCACCTTACCTACCTCCTACCAAAGCCCTTCCTGGCTGGAATCCAACCTGCCACAGCCCTTACCTTTCCCAGTTGCAAGGTGCTCCTCTCTGTCACAGAGCTCCTCTCCTGCCCCTCCTTGCGCAGCAGCTTCCACATGGTGACCCTCATGCCGGCACAAGCAGCGACAAGGTGTTTGGGATGGGCTCAAAGGGGCCCCGTCCCTCAGGAGGACGAGCAGCAAGTGCCAAGTTATTGAAGGCGCCCATCACCACCTGAGCACCCCTACCCGCCGTGCAGCCTTTACACAGCTGCAGGGAAGGTTTAGATCAGGAACAGTAAACGTGGCACAATGACCACAGCCTCCAACATATACATGGATTATAATTGATGCTCTGGCACTTTTCTACATATCTCCAACTGTTTGAAGTTGTCTTAGTGTTTTGGCTAGGAGTGACCAAAGTCACAGGCTGTATTTGGCTTTACTTTTTTTTGCTACTAATTTTAAAGCTTTAAACCTCCCCACATTTTTTCTTTCCCCTGTAAATTCTCTCATTTGTGCTTTTAAGTTTTTGAATAATTTTCTACTTTTCAAGTATTCAAGACCTTGAACTATGCCAGATTGCCTTTGAAATAATGTAACTTGGGACATTATAGCTGTAAGAGAAAAATCCTATTATATCATCTTTTTTTGGGTGAGCAGTGGCTGTAGTGCTATTTTTAAATTCATGCTTCTGCTCTGTGACCATTCCTGACTTGGGCTATAAAAAACTCCTACTAAATCACTCTGCCAACTTGCTCAAGGCATCATATGCCCAGACTCCAGAAACTGTGTACTACCTTTCTTCCCCTCCTTGGTTCATTTACGTACAACTATATAGTTTGGACTAGAAGAAAGAATTTGGGTTTTGCCACTGCGTTAATGGCTGGGCTTTTTTTTTTTTTTTTTTTTTTTGTCTCATCATGAAGCTCTTAACACATTGCTGAGCACCTACGGCAAGTTCTTCAGTATATAAGGTCACAGCAACAAGACATTTGTGCTCAGATCAGCAGAGCCTTCCACTTCTGAACTCAGATCAGGTAAGAAGTACACAGGATTTTTTGGGGGTGGGGAAGAGCAAGAAATGATTTCCATTATACGGCAATGAAAACACTGGAAGAAAACAGTTTGATCTGGCAATTAAAAAGCTATCATAAAACAAACACATGTAAAGAGGGATTACCAGAAGGAAAACTCCACACCTCTTAAAGGTTATTACGGCACGTTTGACTTGGTAGCCCTGCTATGGCTGCCTATGACTGCAAACTAGCTTCCTCAAACAAAGAGCACACGAGTGGTGCGAGTGGCACAGCCCTGACTCAGCACTGTGCCACAGGCAGGGACCATCTCAGCGCTCTGGGTAACCCCTCCCCTGCCTTGCTGAGCTGCTGCCCTCATCCACCAGTGTCAAAGTTTACGGTGCTCCTCGGGACCTTTGCTCTCATGGGAAGTCCCCCGACACACATTGGAAGCCATAACCTTTTGTTCCAAATGTATTCATATTGAATTTTAATTATTCTTGTTTCGAGCATTCCTGAATAACTGCTCTCTCGATCTTCACTTGATTTAGGGCATCACCCGAGTATATTACCCACTTCCATCAATATCTGGAGCATGAGCTTCTCCAACTGCTTTATTTTTTGCCTCTTCCTTCTCCCCTCCCTAACTCCTCTCATTTTTATTTTTTTTTTCATTTGCTTATCTACATATTTGTCACAGCCTGGCATTGCAGGACAAGAGTTGCACAGGTCTTCCCATCATTCAGCAGCAACCTTGTCACAACTCTTCATCTGTTACTGAACAGGTGAAATAGTGAAGAACAAGGTGAAAATGCCTCCTATAACCTCACAATAAATGTGACACAGCTGCCTGAATATATTTTTTCTGTTTCCTTATTTATATTTGTCTACTATTTAGAATGCTTTTTCCTCACTCTACTATTTACTAGAGCATATTACAAAGTAAGCAGCAAAACAAGCAAAAGTTTGGGGACCTAGAGGAGTAGCAGACAGCTTTTTCAAGGATGGCTCTACTCCTTCTGCATAAAAAGAAACAAAGCATTTCTTAGGAATGGATGAAAATTTTCCGCAAGCCAAAGAGTACCTTGTATAAGCATCATAGCAAGGAGGCAAAGAATACAGCTGCCAGGGATGTTTCTCTTCTCCTACCTCCTCAAGTTTAAAAGGTCATTAGATGGCACAAGAAGGTGCTAGCAGCACAGAGGATGCATTCAATGAATTTGAGACAGCATGCCTTTGGGTTACTAACAGAAAACTGTAGCCATGGCAAGCATGTAACAGCAAGATACTTCAGTCTGTTTTATGTCATCATGCATCTCTTGGACAAAAACTAGCTTTATTCTAAGAGAAAAGCTTAGTTGTCATTAATCTTTAAATAAAAAAAGTGTCATTTAGAAACTTGCAGCAGTTTGACATCTAATTACATTGATTTGAGCCTCTGATTACCTAATCTTTAATCTGCATTCCAAACATACTAAAGACACGGCAATTTATATTAGCCTAAATTCTTTAGCTAAATTTGGCTTCCTCAAAACAGACATATTCTGATCTCCAGGGAAATTTTTCTGCCAGTACATACGCCATATTCACTAACAAAGTAAGGATTTAAGGAAGGCAACCTAGCACCCAGGATTTGATTTATAAGAAAAGACTTGTTCTTGATCAAAGCATGTGGTTTTTTTTTAAGCATAGAAAACCAAAACACAGGGGATTGTAACGATTTCGGGAGGCTGAAAAATATACCTCAATGTAAAAACCCTTCTCAGAAGTCAGCTTGCAAACCAGAGTGAAAACTGAGAACACGTTCTTTGAAGCAGCTCACATCCTGCCATTGACAGTTCTGTAATAGGTTTCTACAGAAAGAGTTGTTACAGGGACTCCACTCCTCAAACTTTCATAGTCTTGGTGAAGAGCTTAAATATTAAGGAAAGGAGCAAGAATCTCCTGTAGACTTCCAGGTACTGATTTAATGCAGATGTGCAATGACTTCCTTCACTGGAGTCTCATTCGTTTTTCAGGAGGTCCTTTAGTGCCAGCACTCTGCTGAGTATTCTTTACAGTCTCTTTCTCCTCTGGCTTGACAGCTTCAGGGGCTGGTTCTGGTTCCTTCTTGATTTGATCCACTTAATAAGTAAGAACAAAAAGAAATTAAGAGTGGAATACACTGGAAAGGTAGCTTAGCCTTTTACTGCTTCAAGGTTGCTTATAATCAGTTCACATACTCTCCCAAGCTCGTTGCACTAGGCAAAGTCATTAGGATACAGGACTGACCTAGATATTCCCTCTAGCACCCCTTCCCCTTTTCTACTTTCAAGAGCATTCCCTGCATTTGAACATTCAGGCAATGCAGTTTTAACAGATGAAAAGGGCAAGGCCTTTCATCCTTGATATTCATCAAGAATATAATACACATTTTTCAACTTCATGCTGGTCACCACACCAAGCTCTGATCCTATCTAACACTCTGCAGAAATACACAGTACCAGGCTAACCACCTCAGCAGTAGCAAAAAGGAATTCATGGGGAAAATGGAAAACACAGCGATATATAACTTGTTTTTTAGAATCTTGATATAAGAGAGTTTTACCTGGGATGGGCTTTTCTCCAGGCTTTTGCTGTGGAAAACAAGCAAACAAAAAAAAATCAGAAGAGCCAAAGTCAATATTCTTAACTCCCTTGTATTTACTTAGGTACACAATACAGGCAGTGTGTTATTTAACAAGAGTTGAGGTAAAACTGAGGGCTCTTGGTTACTAAATGCATTTTAAAGAAAATACAAATAACTTCTCTAAACATGCAGTTTTCCCCTTAAAATGGACACTAATGGAAAAAAGGTAGCCAGTCTTTCCTAATCTCCCAATTCTTCCTCTCAGCAGGCTAAAAAGGTTCTGAGAGCCGCTGTGAGCATTGGCCCTTGCTCCCCAGCAGAGGGCCTGGCAGAGCAGAAAGCTGCTGGGCGGATGCAGAGGCGGCCACAAGCAGTGCTGAGGATCTGCACGCTAACCAGCAAGCCCGCATATCAAAGCAGTAACCAGCACACACTCCCTGGGCTTTCATTCGGCTCTTGGTTCCATTTGGCTCACAAAACTGAAAACTTGCAATAGCTACAAAATCCAAGAGCTGACAAGTTTGTCTTCTACACATAAATGAGGAACTTCTCTAATAAAATTTGCTATTGTAGTTTTGCCAAGGTCTTAAACTCACAATTGCAGAGGGCAATTCCATCTTCTACTCAAAGCCTTCAACTTTCAAGATCCATTATATAACCAATGTCACCATTCTAGCAAGCATGCCAAACTCCCACGCACTCTCAGTTGTTCAAGTATTTTTGACCTTCTTAAGCTCCAAGTTACATAATTCTGTGGCTTATAAATATCATACCTGAACAAATTTAGGTGGAAACTTTTGTCTCAGGTCTAGAAGTAAAGCATCTACTCGTTGCCTTTGGAAAATAGAACTTGGTTCTTCTTTCTTTTTGGCTTTTGGTTTAGCCTTCTCTGTAAAAGACAGAAAATGTGACAGAAACCTATTTAAGAATTTCTGTTTTCTTACCAGCTCTTTGTTGTGTGACAAGTTGGCATCAATTTCCCCCCTAAACTCCCATCTCTAATTCCCACTTGACATCAGGACCTCCTTCTTTGAAGCAGACAGATTAGAATTACTTTTACTTCATGAAAAACTTGGTTTCTGAAAATGTTCATTGAGTCCCCAATGGGTTGAAATGTCCTGCTCTTCTTTAACACAGGGCTCACCATTTCTTACCTCCCATCTACACCTTAGTGTCAACTCCACCAGCTCCAAAAGAGCGAGTTTCCTTCCAAGCTCGTGGGAAGCACTAACTTATCCTTCAAACAGACCTACCCCCTTCCTACCCTACCCTTCAACAGACACTACTCCCCAGACTTCCTCTGCACACTCCCAGGGTATCACCTGCAAGCTTTTCCTTTATGTGCATGTTACCCTCCTGCCCAAAAGCAGAGCGGGGCCTGGGACTCCTACCTCGTTCCTCCTGGTCTTTGAAATGCCACCAATAGCCTTTGGAGGGGTGATAGCGGCAGTAGGACATAGCTTCTTCAAAAGCAGATTGAATTCCATGCACTGCAGTGAGCTTTCAGAACAAGTCAACATAAGAAAATATGCAGAATTTTAAGCAAAAGTACAGTATAAATTACTGTAGGCAAAGATTAAAAAAAAATCTGTTCTATATTCATTTTTTGTTCTGGGAAGGGAACTCAAGGCAGCTAGCTTTGGACCAAGAATGTAATATTTTAAACAGGATCAAGTGCTAAACTGAGAAAGAAAAATAAAAAAAAATAAAAAAATACACAGAGCATTTCACTAGGATACAAGAAGAAATTAAAATCTAATCTGAATTTTGAATCTAAAGAAAATTACCAAGTTAACAAAAAAAAATCCAAAGCAAATGTAATTAAGTCATTGTCATTTCATATATATTTATGTAATTTAAAAGTTTTCTTCTTATTATTTGAACTTCGTATTAGACGGCTAGAAGAACAATTTCAGCTGTTCATATCCGTTCATCCTCACACAACCAGTGCCCTGCCCTTTAGACCACACTGCACCACACTTCCATATGGGATACTCATCATGTTAACTAGCAGTGGAAGTTATTCTATCCAAGACCTTTTCTCGAAACAGTACAAGAACGATTGAAACAAGGTGCAGAGCCACCAAAAGCAGGTACAGACTGACACACGTCTAAATGAACACAAAAGAACACTTACAACTCTGGAGTTAATGACGGACCCCAAGTCAGGTGCCTGATAAATCACACCAGCAATAATATAGTAGTCAGCCAATGGAATAACTGTAGAAGGGGGAGGGAAAAAAAAGTGTATAGGATTTAAATGTTGAAGAGCACATATTTTTATTTCCAGTAGCTACAGTAAAAATTACAATATTCATCTCATAGTGAAAGTCCTTCAGTCACACTTTACCCACAAAGAGATAAAGATTGGGTGCAGATTAGAACACCAACTCCCTTTTCCTGAAAGGAGAAAGTTCCTTTTCAGTATCGCTTTGTGGGGGAGGAAAAAAAGGTAAAGAACAGCAACTTTACTGCCTCACAGAACACTCACCTAGACAGACAGGTGTCCTTTGTCTTTGCACATACAGATTTTAACCACTTCAAACTGTTGACTTAAGATTTGCAGGGAAGAAAAAATAATAAAAATAATAAAAATAATAAAAGTAATAAAAATAATAAAAGTAATAAATAAAAGTAATAAAAATAATAAAGAGTTCCCCTCCCAAACGCCCAGAAATCAAAAGACAGACCTGTACCAAGGCTTTGAGCTTCCTGAGTTTTCAAGTTTTATACCCAATACTTAGTATGTCTCAGGGTAATATTTCAAGATAAAGCCGAACATATGGGTAAAATTAGCCAAGGAACAAAGAGAAACTAAGTGATACAAGTAAGATCTAGCCTAAGCTGTGGGACCACAGCGAAAAATGTTATTAAACACGTTCCAGTTAAGTTCCACCAAATGACCATACTGTGTCAAAACCACAAATATCTGTGTTGTAGAAATCAGAACTCTGCTCTGAGTAGTCAAAAAGGTGCTAAAAGCAGAAACTAGGAGATGTACAGTATTTCTATACTTACTTTTAAAAATCTAGATTCTAAAGATTTGAGTCTTACAAACAACTGGAAAATCTAATCAAAGAAGCAGCAGTATATGCTCTTTTTCCGTATGGAGCTAAAATGGAAAGAGGTCATTATCTGACACGAGGAAACAAGCTGCATTGCTACGCAAGCCCAAGTGCTATACAAGAGGAAGGACTTGGGCTTCATACGCAGAGCTAAGTTACTAAGCAAAAAGTTAAAAAATTACTAGCAATAACCCTGCTTTTGATTTCTGCAAGGTTTACTCCAAAATAACCTAGTGTTTTACATGTATGGGCAGTAAATACAGAATACAGTCCAATTACAATAGAAATTTGCTAGCTCTCCTTAATCACACATGCACAGGTAAATTAAAGGTTAAGAAAGGAACATTGAATCCAGTTGAATGCAAAGGGAAGAAAAAATGAAGTGATTTCATTCAGAACTTGGGAAGGCCATCACTGACCCCAGTGTTACTCTTTAATAGTATCATAGGATTCCCTAATGTCTCCAAAACACCTAGATCTCAGATTTATAACCAAAACACAAGCATCTTGTAGTACTATGTCATCTTTTCCTGCAAGAATCTCCTCCTTTATTCAAAAGATCCTACTTAGCCATCTAATCAAACTGCAGCTAAAGGAAGAAATAAGACATAATAATTTTAAAAAGTTATAATGCAACCAGATGAATAAATATATCTTTCTCTGTAACCAATGGAAATCATGACTTTCCAAAATAAAGAAATAAAATCACATCCTAGTCACTTCAGATGATTAGCACAAATTAATTTAATCTCATCAGCCCCAGGCAATCAATCACAAAATTTCCTTTACTTAAATAATTACATTGGAAACTCTAACATGACAATATGACATGACAGGAATGTTATTACCAATTTTTGCTATTACCATAGCAAAATACATGGCAGCACTTTTTCACTCCTCACATTTCACCACAAGAGTGCAATTCCTGTCCAATCCAATAGCAGGATGCACATTACTCCATAAAGCAGAATATCTCCACCTACCTCCTGTATAAAACCTTATATCTGTGTAGTGAGATTTGAGATAAAGACAGACCAGAGGAGAACCACAAGTGCTTACACATAAGTTAGAAACAGATAAAATAGAATAAGCATCCAGCCTTCCAACAGTGACAAAACCTGAGACACCTTACCTTGTGTTGGAGATTGCCTTTGCTGCTTGCGGATAATGAAGAGAATGGGCTCTTGAGCATGAAGAAGGATATACTCCACTCCAATCATCTGGCTGGAAAAGAAGCAACCAGAATAAACATCTTCCTCTCAAAGCAAAAGTCGTGGGATGTGAAGATCTACAAAAATCTTGACAGGGATGGGTTAAAATTCTGATTCTTTGGAAGCTACTTTATAATGTGCAGTAAATAGAGACATATAGCTATTTGCATATACAAGGCAAGTTAAAATAACCTGACAAAAACTTTTAGGTAGGACAAATAAATAAAAGAATAAACAGTGAGAAAGATGACATTTCTGTCTCTGCCATGGTAGATTGTCATTCAAATAAAGAAACAAAGGACAATAGTGCTTGCATGTGACGTGAAAGCCTTTCTGCAACCACATCCAAGTAAGAGGAATTTTGCCATGGAGCATGTAGCTTAACTTGCACACTGCCTGGTGTATTGTCACATTTTTAAATAGCTCCCAATACATTTGAGCTGTACTCCATGTCGCAGATGGGAAACTGCAAAGAAAGTTAACCTGCACACACAGCAATCTCACTAGACAACATCTGTGATGTGTACTTAAAACACTTAATACTTGTATTATTCATACTAAAAAGCTAGCTATTTGGAGGAATATCCATACCAATTATGGCACACAGCCAGTAGGATATGGAATCATTAATCAGTTGTTTGTGAACATAAAGTACTCTCCAACATAAACCTCACTCATCATAGGAAAAGGATTTGAATACATTATTAATATCAATATTCAATTTCTGTTGAGAAAAAAGACAGCTTCAGAGAGTATCTAAAAGGTGATCTACTGGAATCTCAATTTCATGGCTATGATTTCTTTGAAATGGTACTAGAGGAAGTAAAAGATATCTAACTAGTTGGACACTCTGCAAGGCTAAAAAACAAAGAATAGAAGCAGCTTCCCAGTACGTTTCCATCTGACCATCAAAGCCTCTGAGGGAATGGAAAAACACAATGTTAGAAATGGTTTCAAATTAACAACTTACTTCAAATGGTCCAGGGTCATCCGCTGCATTTTGACAACTTCATTGTTACATGTTCGGTCATAGAAAGGGTTACTTCGCTCTGAGAAATAGTCCAACACGCTCCCATTGTTCAATATTGGGATCCAGGAGCTGTCAACCCAGGAAATTCCCAAGAGGTTATCTGGCAAGAGAAACATCCTTTGAGTAACAAATGGCTTGAAAATCTCCAGAAGTAAATAGTTAATTCTTATGGCACGGGAGCAAAGCAGAACATTGCAGCACAAAACCCAGTTCTACTCAAAAATGCATTTCACAGAGGTCAAACAATAATCAAATCTTTTGACTTACTATAGCTCTGTTGTAGATGAACAATGTAATCTGTTATTATTCCACTTTGCTGGTACACGATTATGTCCCAAGAATGCCAGCAGGGTGGTGGAGGGGGAAAGAAGGGAACCAACAAGCTCCAATAACTGTATAATATTATCATAATATTATATTAAGAGTTCTATTAATTAAAGCAAGGTATTATCTTCTGTTAAAGACAAACAGCAAATTACTGAGTGAAACAAAATAAGGGAGTTGTTAATAACATTGCATCTTAGAAACATGTATATTGGATGTAACAGCAACCAATATTGTTATTTCTGAAGACGGTTATGTCTGCTGCAGATGAAATCCATAGCAAGCAAGTCCCCCACAGACAAAGAGGCCACCTCTGGGTGAATGTTTCCCCAAAGCTATGAATAAGAGATTCTATTCCCAGCTCTACAGTTAATTTCTTAAGTTGCCAATGGCAAAATGCTTATTTTGCACGGCGATGAATATTACAGAAACCAAACCATGTAAGTATTTTAATTTGAAATACACTCTATAAATACAAATTGCTACATGTCAGCTGAGTTCCTACACATCTAGCAACATTTGGATTAAACTCCTTAGATTTAATTATGACACACAGCAAAATCAGGTTCCTCACACACATAAGCAGCCAAAGTCAAATGCAGACCAAAGAAACGAGTGTCAAGACTGGTTCTAGGGTTGACAAAACAGCTAACACCAAAGACACCAGATGGATTAATTTCTAGATACATTTCAAGCAATTTAAATTACAAAAACAACAACGAGAATCCTAATAACTGAGAAAGCAGAAAACATTGGCATATGTTGTTCAGGTTTTCTAAGCAAATGTGATGCAAAGTCTTTGAAGAATGAATGGAAAAAAAAATGAATCACTTTCCTACAGGAACCACTCCCTTATGTTCATGCATTATATGCATATCCAGAACTTCCACTCATCATTCCTCTGTGAATATTTTGTTTTGTGGCAGTTCTGCATGTTCAAAGATCAGTCGCAAAATGTCAGCTCCTACGTTAAGAGCAGCTTGCTTTATGAACACTAATAAAGTGATACCATGTGCTCAGCAAACCAGGAATAATGCAGAAAAACTAAGAATGAATCACTCTGCCCTGTCAATCTCAGAACTGCCAATCGAGCTCTTCCTTAAAATGCAAGAAAAAAAATGTCTTGAAGCATTCATGTTATTTCATACAGACTATTTTCTCTCTAAAATGAGAATCTCAGTAACAAAAAAGTAAAATCTATTAGACATTTAAACTAGGGTGGTACTGATGATATCCTAAATGCTTTTCAAAACTAAAAGACAAGCTTCCTTCCCAGCAAAGGCAAAATCAGCCCAAAGTTGCATGCTTGCTCTGATCCCTTTCCATATTTCAAACACAGAAACATTTTATTGGTATGACTAATAATCACAAGACTGCACTCTCAGTTAAGCTCACAGTACTAAAAAGACACAGATAAATAGATCAAAAAATTGAAGAATAAAGTTGGGGTAACCCAACTTTAAAAACCCAACCTTAACTATTGTTTTCTAAGTGCAAGTAACTACAAGATCTACAAGATTTTTATTCTCTTACAAAGAGTTGAAGCAGACAGAACCCAAACATGCTTCTTGTTCCTAGGGAGAAGGGAGTATTTCCATTTATTAGTGTGAGAACATTCTATTTATGTGGAATATGTGTCACATATACACTTAAGTGCTTGTAACTGCACTGTCCACCTGCTATGAATGTCCCACGCAAGACAATTCAAACACAAAGAAGACGAAAACTACGGCAAAAGAAGACATGAGGAAAGCAATGCACACAACTTGCTGTACCTGGACATTTTGCCCAGACAGTCCAGCAGATGGCTTTTATACTCAAAAATCTAAGTGTATTGAACTACCTTAGATGTTTTAAAGGGCCTTAAATGAATGTGATTGAGAAGATTCTCACACCAGCTAATAATTGCTTACAGCACTCCTGTCATTAATTACCAATATTGCAAACAGCTGTTTCAGAAAAGCTGCTAGAAGCAGCAAAGAGGACTGCAGGAATTATTAAAAAAAAAAAAAAAAAAGTAGAGGCAGAAGAGTTTTGTGGTCTTATCAAAATGCATAGGATATCAGTAGCTGTGTGGGGGTTGTTTGTTTGGTGGGTTTTTTTTTTTTTTTTTTTTTTTTTTTTTTTTTGGGGGGGGGGGGGGGGGGGGGGGGGGAAGGGACAAGTGGTAAATGCCACAATGCTCCAACACCAGAACAGCAAAGTCCCAAAGAGTAATGTGAAAGGTTCAGCAGGGAATGACTGCTGAGCATCAGTTAATTCAAGTTTAAAGAGAAAAAAGCAGAATCTTTATATACGATAGCAACTTTGGTACAGAAGAAGCAAAACCAAACATGAAATCATGAGCAGCCACAGAGACCCAATGACGGCTTCCCTTCCAGGAAACCCCTTAAGCGCAGATTTCTGAAAGGCTGGAACTCCGTGGCAAAGAAGGGTTCAGCCTCTGCTTAAACTGGGGACGGGCAGCCAGGGCGCCCGTGGCCTCGGCCCACGCGGGGCCTGGGGGGAGCCGGGGCACGGCGGCGAAGCGCTGCCCGCGCCGCTCGACCGGGAGGCCCCAAGGGCCCGGGCCCGGGCCGGTCCCGCCGCGGCGGGCGAGCGCTCCTACCTCGGATGTCCACGGCCGCCATGGCTCCGCGCGCACTTCCGCCGCCCGCACCGGAAGTGCCGGAGCGGCGCCCGCAATGGCGGCCGCCGTGGGGGAGGCCCGTGATGGCGGCGCTGAGTCAGTAACGTCAGCAGCGCAGTGACACGGGGGCCATGAGGGCGCGAGGAAATCACTGATTCCCTCTCCGGAACAGCATTTGCACAGTGAACACAAATTAGTTAGTGAGGCTGAACAGCAGAAGGAAACAATCGCCCATCCTGATCACCAAATGCAAAAGAAGCCATAAAAACACCAATCGATACAGTCCTTAATGGCGCAACCACATTAAAAAACACATAACTATCCTTAATATTTCAGCTTCCTCATGTCTGAGTGCGTGATGTTACTGCCCAGGTAATATTCTCTAGCCACACTTTTCCACTATTCAGTTCTCATGTGCCCCGCGCTGCCGGTTCCCATTTGTTAGCGCTGATTTTTAGCAGCTTCTGTCCTTGCCAAACAGACCCCTCCGAATCTTACCCAGCGCGGGGAGTTTCCAAATAACAGCACTAACCATCTGAAAACTATCCAGCTCTCCATCTAAAACCAGTATTTAGCTATGTGTGTCGTGAGCAAACCTCCTGGAGCAGAAATGCCAAAAGCCACAGTAGCTCCCTCTCAGAGCTTCTCCAGCCTCCTGCCTCACTCTGTTTCCACACAAACCATTTCTCTTCTGTAACAAACATGAATTCAAAATCGATTTTAAGTATTTACATTATCCATCTTTCCTGCTGACTCTGCACCTCTCCTGAGCATGTATGTTTTTGGATGAGTGAGGGACTGAAAAGCAGAGTCACCCCTATGGGTGTTTGATGGCTTATAATACTGCGGTCCTGTCGGGAAGAGTTTCTCATCCACTAATGTGTTCACCTCCCATGACAACATAAAAGGGTGCTTTCTGTTTTCACTGAGCTTTCTCTAAAGGGAGAGTGTTGATAAGTATTCATGTTCTGCTTTTTGGGAAGGAGCTTTGAGCTACAGGTGGAGATCTAATAAATACTGCAGGTAAAATGAGGAATTTACATACTTTTAATGTCCAAGAAAGGCACCTTAAACAATATCTAAACATTCTTATAAGGAGTTCATTTGTGTTTTAAACCTACAGAAAGTACTTGGATAAAAATTGGCTTTTTTTTTTTTTTTTTTTTTTTTTTTTTTTTTTTTGGTGGGACCAGTGTTTGAATGTCATCTAGTGTCCCCATTCCACTGATATATATCAGTTATCAGAGCTAGTGAGAAATCTAGCCCTACCACACTCCTCTTTTCTAGTCCCTACAAATACATATAATAGAAGAGAATGCCCAGAATGCCCCTAATCTAAAATGCTTTTTATGTCCAGTGGATGCAGGATTAGTAGCACTGAACACTCCAATGAGTATAAGCAGAGCAGGACAGTAGTAAGCCAGGACTCCCTTTATAGTTTCAAATAAAACCAGCTCCACTGAAAGGACTACCTCTATAAACAGGAGGAAAGCTCTGTCAGCTGAGATACAACAAATAAGCTAGTTATAAGCCATAAGGTAAAAAAGTATTTTCATTATATTCTGAGTTGTTTCCAATACATATCAGAGGTTGCTGAACAACATTCAGATTTTCACAACTTTTCAAATTCTGCCACTCTGTTTTAACTCACAGTTTAAAAGTAATGATCTCCATATCCCATTAACCGTTCTGTGCAAATGCACTTCTGAAGTGAATTGCAGAGGGAGATTGAAGTTCCTGTGCTAATGCAAAAGCATAGAGCTTGAATTACTTATGAAATGAGTGATTTGCTACTGGCTTTACAGTAAGTAGAAGAACATTCTTTGAAATGCTTTGCCTTTGAAAAAAAACACATCAAAAACGAATGAAGTAGTGATAGGAAATTATTGGCAATGGAATGAAAAGACTGAAATAACATTTTAGTGCAAAAAAATAAGTTGCCTATTATGAGATTGTCCTCCATACTTTGCATTAATATTTTTGCTGAATGAAATTCCCTTTTTATGCTGAAAACAATTACATTGCTAAGAGTATCTTCAGATGACACTACGCACGTAGCTATTTACAGAATAGCTTCCAGCAGGCCTCAAATTCCACCGCTGAACAGTGCTTCAGAAACCCTAACGTGGCCAAACGCTGTTTTCTAATCAGGCATTTTTGCTGACTTCAGTCTGATCATTCTTTCCTTCAGTGCATCTGCCTGTATTTTTCCTTTTCCTGGAATAATATTTTATGCAGTCTTCAGAAATACCGCTGATCAGATGCATTGACTATAGGAAAAAATGGCAGGCTTGTGTGCTCTTTTACTGTTGGAAAGCCACTAGAGAAGATTGCAATCTAGAAAAATGCTGAAGTGATTTCAATGTTCTTTAAAATAGGGTTCGCCTCGTTGCTATCAGCATTGGGCTGCAAACAGTTATTAACCCTTTCTAACTAAGAGTTGCCTACGAGTGAAGAAAAGCAAAACAGTCACAATCTCCAGACTTTGCGTTTCCAGTATGCTTTGAGTACCAATATTTTATACTGCTTTATAAACCCCAGCATGGCCAAATTGCAAAATGCTTGATTTTTACACAGTTACTCAAGTCCCTTGGTCATCTGAAGACAGGCTTTAATAAAATAAGGGTGTCTCTAGCTTGATGAACAAAATGAGGATTTGTTTTCCTGGTTTATTGCTGTATTTGATTAAAAACTGGGCTTTAGCTTGGCAACGAGCCTTGTTTTACAAAACACAGTGCTGCCAACTTACTGCAGCCTAAGGGAAAGATGCAAAACCTGCACAGGCCAACTAGCTGCCAGAAGTGAACAAGGAAATTTAATTGTTTCCAGGTAGGAAAGAGCTGCAAAATCAACAGGTAGCGCCAGTGGTAGGACATCAATGAAACCTTTAATGAAACCTACTCTGCCTGCTTGAATAACCTCCATTCTTACAATGGTTAAAAACAAAGATTTTATTCCAGAGAATTACAGTGTCTGCTGTATCCATTTAGTCACAAACATGTTCTTTCTTTTTCGGCACCTGTCTCCCTGCTCTGAAATGTTAATATACTCACTTCCTCACTGTTTCAAACACTTAATTGGCCAGGCAGCTCTTTCATTGGATGGCTTCTTCCCTGCTCTCCTATCATTTTATTCTTTACTAGTGTTGGTTGCCTGGTAACTCTAACACCTCTTTCATTCCCAGTAATTTTACATCTTTCCCCCCCACACTATTTAGTCATAAACTCCATCATTTTTCTCCTGACTGGTATATTCCCTCTCCATCTGTGCCTTAACATTACAAAATGTTGAAGACAGTCAAGTGACCAAAATGTCAATCACAGGCTGGGCTTTGTGTTTGACTTGGATTAGAATCATTTTTAGTAATCTCTTTTGTTAACATGGGTGAAGGCTGGCACTGTGGGTGGAGCAGATGACTTCATTTCCTTCCTAAATCCCAAGCAAAGTCAGCTCTGATTCTCAAGCTCAGTTTTCTCTACTAATCCAAAAGGGAAGGCACTTTCAAAAAGCTATGCAACTGGGAAAGTGAAGGATGAAGCAAAAGGCACTTCACATACTGCCTCTAAGACTGGAAGAAAACCCATAAAAAGCTGCCTTCCCTCATGTTCCTCCTTAGCATTCCCTTCTCTCACCCCTTACTCCAGGCCTCTCCTCGCATCTCTACTCCTGAGCTCTCCAGCCTGCACCCACCTATTTGGAGTTGTGCACAGCACCCTGGGCCACCAGCACATCCAAAGTGGCCCTATTCTGTGAAGTCAAATAAATGTTGAAGAGGCTTTTCTCCCAACCTCCTGCCTCTGGTTCTAGAGACAGAGGTCACTTTAGTCCCGCATCTGCACATAGCGAGGGCTGCTCACCCCAGGACCCAGAGGGAGAATGAATTAACTGTAAGGACTGAACTAACCTAAGGTGAGGAAATCAGGCATTTGCTGGGACTGTGAAAAAAACCCTAACTGCTATAGCGAAATGTTCCCCCTCTATCAGGTAGTGTCATCAAAGATTTACTTGCCAGCTAGTTGGATACGGCCTAGGGCTAAGAAAAGACCCAGTTTGACACACAGGTGCCATGATAATACAGGAGCTTAAAGGGCTTTTCAGCTTGCCAGCTAAATGAGGCCTTTGGCTGCTTAGTCTGTACAAGGACTATTTTCAGGGAGCAGATATACCTTTTCTCTATAAATGATACTGGGAAGAGTACGGGTCACTGGGAAGAGAGAGGGTCACTGCAGGCTTCATCTGACTGCCTCATTGCCTCTAAGCTGCTGTAAGATCCTCTGTATGGGTAGGAAACTGCTACTAAATGCTGAGCATGGGCTCTTGGGACTAATACAGAGGCATAAGGAGTCTGTTCAGATAATTCTGCACTTCAGTTTGCAAAGGAATCCCATTTTGAGAAGGCTTCATTCTACGGTTTTTCTTTCTCAGATACAGATGATCTTGGATTCCCCATCATCCCAAAGTGGCTGTAGTTGCGACCCTGCCCTCCCAATGTACAATGCAGGAAATAATTAACTTGGCAAGAGGATACTTTCCAGTGCCTTTTGCACAAGTGAAATCTCCATTTGGGGATATGCTCTCCACTATCAGCCCAGAATGGGCCAGCTGTGGTTTAAAGCAAGAATTTGAAAGTATTTCCTTTCAAGTATATTAATTAAACTCACATTACAGAGATTCACAATTTGAAATAAATGACTGACCTGCTCTTTAACAAAGGTCCTTTGTCTGTGTAATCAAAGTGCCACCTCTCTGCTTCGCACATGAGATTAGTGTCAGTAGGTATGCAGTAGTTTACAGAATATGCTGTGATAGCTGCACATCCAGTAACAATTGGACATATTATTCCATAAACCAGTGCAATGGGGAATGGAAAAGAGAGGCTTACAGACAAACAACCAAAAGTTCTTATGTGATCTTTTTTTTTCCTGTTTCTGTGTTTTGAATAAACTCCTCCCTAATGGAGGAAAAAGTCAGGATAGCAAGGCAGAGGATACACAAATATAGCTGATCTATGGAGCAAAGCCA